TCCTTAATTGTATATATGTTTATTTCACTAAGATATGAAATGGTTAATATTAGCCAATTGTTTTCAAGCGATTTGAAATAAAGTTATAAGACTACGTGAGAATCCATTTGCAATTTTTTTTTAATTGTTTTTACTGCTTTATTTTATTTTTATTTACCTATAGAAAAGGGAAAATCCATCATTTAATAATCAAAATGGAGGGAATGACGAGTTTTATTACATAATTTAAAGGTAGTGAATTTTATCCGGAGAGACGTAGTTAACCAACATATCACATTTCAAGTCAGATGATGAAGTATATTTGGTGTATGAGAGGCACAATAAACAAAAAATATAGGTGCCTAGTTTTAGATTACACTTACCATGTGTAATTCACCTTTGGATGATAGAGAAACTATTATTATAGATGGAGAGGCAAGTAAAAGAGATTCTTCTAGGTGCTTGACACCTGATCTCATCATATTAACTCATTTGTCATGTTTGTGTCAATCCATAGACATGATTGGTTTTTAGATTTCCATAACTTGAATATAAGTTGAAAAGTTGTGATATGATTGTGTGTTGCTATTGTAGAGCTGTCATATCGATCACTTTGTACAACTGTCTCGGAAACTTGGCTGAAGCGATGCTTGTATAAGAAGCCCATTGTCTCATATATAATGTAGCGGAGAGGTGAAGCATCGTCTCGAATAATAATAATAATATTCAAAATGATATATCTAAAGGCATGACCTAATCGTCTCGATAAAAGCATGTGAAAGAGGCGATGTAAAATAAAGTGCTGACGTTAGAATACAGGTCCAAGGTTCATAGTCACTATTACAAATAGCAATACCTATATAAAGTTACAAAACAACACAAGATCTGAAATTGCTAATGTGACAAAGAAATCAATGATTTCCTTGGAAAGAAATTATGTAGCCTATTACTTGCCCAGAAATACAGCCACCAAGATTTATTTATTTTTATTAATCCTAGGTGCTTTAATCTAGAATAGACGCGTTTATAGGCAAATTATTTAATATGTCACTACTATAGAAAGAAGAAACACTTCAGCATAACACATTAATAAGTGACTGCTCCAGAGGGGGAAAAAAAAAAAAGAGTTTATTATTGTTGCCTTTTTAAATAATGCATGGAGGCAAGAAGGGGTGTGCATGAGGACAAATAGAGAGGTGTTTGTGCTGCTCACATGAACAAAAACAATCAATTAAAAGGAATATAGTGA